AAAAGAGACACCAAATCAACAAAAGCCTCTCAAGCCTTAACCCAGCCCAACCCCAGCCAATGCCGCGTAACTGTGCCACCTGCACCCAACCCCACATTCAATTCCGGTCCCAAGGGATCCGAACCCCTGTTCAGAAGTGTGATGTCCACCAGTGGGTCCTCCCACCCCGATACACCTGCCCCCCTGTCCCTGAGCTCCCCAGCCCTGGACACTCTGGCCCATGGATGGCCCCATCGCCGACAGAGGCACCAAGGTCTCCCCAGTCTCTGGGACATTAATACTGAATCTTTTCCTCTGTGGAGATTCTCTCCTTGCAGTTCCCATCCAGACCTGTTGTAAGTCAGGGAATGGAGGTGGTTCTGAGCAGAAAGTGCCAGAATAAATGCTCTGGGTAAGAAGTCAGTGATGTACATCCCAGCCCCTTTCTCATAGCTGATGGCTAAGAGCTGTGGCATCGCGGTATCAGCCACATGTAGGGCAAGCCCTTGGGGGCCACCAGCTGGTGTGTAGTCACTTTCTGGTGTGAAGCTGGGAGAACGCTCCCGCTCCCCAGGCTACACTGAAAAAACCTGATTGGCTGGGAGAGTGCCACTCAAACACACAGCATTAACTCTGACCCTGGGAGGTTGAACGAATGGTGTGGGGCAGTCTGGGAAATTTGGAAAGAAAACAGAGAAGCTGCAGGACAGGAGCCCTGAGCTGGGGCAGGGCGGGAGCTGCTGGCAGGAGAGCCGGCTGCTGGCAAAAGGGGATTTGTGTAAACTCCCAGCCTTCAGCCCCATCCCACTGCCAGGCTGTCTCTCCATTCTCATCCTAGTATTTCAGGGCGGGATAGTTGGTCACCTGCTCCTTGATACGTTGCAGGCTACATCATGCTAAAGCGCCCATGTCCAGCCTGCAGCTTTGTCCCGTAGTCGTCTCGGGCTCACGTACATACCCGAGGCGTGGAAGAAATGTTGACAGATCCATAATACTTCTAGTTCTCTCTGAACTGATTGCATATCTTCAGGTGTTGGCATCGGCCTGGTGTATTTCTAGCAGTGGAAAGGTTTCTGCTTTGGTGTGGCAGGTGGGGGGGGTTCTGCTCCTTGCGAATTCCTGCATCTCTATAAATAAGACTGTTTGGGTCTTGCATGGGGGCTCACATTAACTGAATGTATTAGCAGAGCGCTGTGCTAATAAACAGAGTGCTCTGACAAATTGTGAGTCCTGAGTCTGACTTTGAGAGGCCACAGGGCTCCGGAAGGTGACCGGGGTGGAAGATGCCGGGTGGAGCGGGGCCTCGGGCGGAAGGGGTGGGGCTGGGGCTCGCGTGTCCCTGAAGTGGAGGTTCACACGCCACCCGTGCTTGTGTGTCTCTGATGTCATCTTTGGGGTGGGGTTTGTGTGCACTTTGCTCTGGGAGGCTCAGGTGCCTGGCCCCCGTCAGGCATTGTACAAACAGTCCATGCTACGGAGGGGAGAGCAGAGCCAGCCCCGCCGTGGAAAGCACTCGTGAGCTCTGGCACTGACGGTCGCCGCGGGGGAGCTTCCCGTGGGATTTGAGTGACTTACGTACATGACGCTCTCATCTCCGCACCGGGATCGGAGACGTCCCACATCTCACTTGGTTTGGCGACAGGCCCTTCCCGTCGGCACAGCGGGTTCTAGCTGCCCTAGGGGACAAAGGAGAAGTGTCGCTTTCTTCCAATGCTGAACAAGGGACTTTATTAGAGTGAGGGGAGCAGGATTAACCCCATGGCTGCTCTGTCTCTCCGCTTCTTTGCCCCTTCCCAGCCCTGGACCTGGCTCCCTGCCATAGATTTAAAGTGACAGTACACCTATTCTTCCACTTCCCCGCGCTCTTGTCTGCATTCATAATCTTTAACAAGAGCTGATATCTGACAACAAATGATTGAGCCCAGTGAGTCACCGACACTCGTCCCGAGCGGCTCAGTGCCAGTGACGGCACGGGGCAATGGGGATTGGGCCCCGGGGTGGGGAGTCTGCAGCCTCCCCCAGGTGCTTGTCCTGTCCAGTGCCCTGCTCTGCTCCTGGAGTCCTGCAGGTTTTCCTAGGGTTACCATACGTCCGGATTTTCCCGGACATGTCCGGCTTTTGGGGGCTCAAATCCCCGTCCGGGGGGAAATCCCCAAAAGCCGGGCATTTCCGGGAAAATCGGGAGGGAGGGAGGGCTCGGCCGGGGCCTCTTTGGCCGGGGCCGGTGCGGGGCCGGGCGGGGAGCAG